GCGAGTTCCATTGTTAATTCTGCACTATGTGAAGAAGTCTGCTCTTTTCTCTGTCCTGAGTCTTCCAACATTCCGCGTAATTGGATGACCACCAGTTCCAGTGTTATGAGACAGGGAGAAAAACTTCCCTCTTGCCACTCTATCCATGCCATCTATAATTTTACGAACTTTTAGCATGCCACCTATTCTCTAAATGGAAAAATCCCAAATGCTGCAATCTTTCCTACATGGGGAGATGCTTCACCCCCTAGATCATTTTGGCTGCAGTTTTTCTGAACTTTTTCCAACTCTACAATACCCATTTTGAGGTGAGGCGACCAGAACTGTATTCCAAATTATGGTTGTCCCGTAGATTTCTATAAAGGCATTATGACATTAGCAACTTTATTTTCAATTCTATGGACTTGTGGAACTTACTTAACTTTTCTGAAACAAGGTGCATGCGTCTTTTAGGGAGCTGGACACAGTACCAGTTCCTGGGGGTGCCTCCTTCCAGGTACCTCCCGCAGGGGCCAACCTCACAGCCCCAACACCTCCATCCACAGCCACCTTTGTTGCTTCTTCAGCCTCAGGCTCCTCTGCTGGTTGTGTCAACAGCCGAGAGAAAAAGTAGGACTTGTTCCCCGGGCCCTGTGGTGGGCGTGGCATAGGGATGTGGAGTGCGCCTGGCAGCAGAGCCTTGCACAGCCAGTTTGGAGGCTTGCTGCACAGCGCCACAATCCTTTTCTTTCCTGCAGCCGCTCAGCCTCGTGGATTCACCAGAGGCCTGGCCCCTGGCCAGGTGCTGCTCCTGCAGGTGGACCTGTTTCTGGGGTGCCTGTTGGAGAGAGAGAGAGAGGCTGGATGCTGCGGTTGTTTGCTGCTAAGGAAGGGACAGGTGTGGCCTCCTTCCCTCAGCAGGCAGGCAATGAGACCCTGTCAGTGCAGTCGTACCTTGGATCTCAAATGCCTTGGCTCCCGAACAAATCGGCTCCTGAACAATTGAAACCCAATAATAATCATCATAATAATTTATTATTTATACCCCGCCCATCTGGCTGGGTTTCCCCAGCCACTCTGGGCAGCTTCCAACAAAATATTAAAATACAATAGTCTATCAAACATTAAAAGCTTCCCTAAACAGGGCTGCCTTCAGATGTCTCCTAAAAGTTTGGTAGTTGGGAGGGCATTCCACAGGGCGGGTGCCACTACCGAGAAGGCCCTCTGCCTGGTTCCCTGTAACTTGGCTTCTTGCAGCGAGGGAACCGCCAGAAGGCCCTCGGCGCTGGACCTCAGTGTCCAGGCAGAATGATGGAGGTGGAGATGCTCCTTCAGGTATACTGGACCGAGGCCATTCAGGGCTTTAAACGTCAGCACCAACACTATGATTTTTCCAGTTTTCAAACCATTTTCAGAAGATGAATGTCTGGTGCGGTTTCCGTGGCTTCCGATTGGCTGCAGGAGCTTTCTGCAGCCAATCGGGAGCTGCACTTTGGTTTCTGAATATTTTGGAAGTCAAATGGACTTCCTAAATGGATTCTGTTCAACTTCCAAGATACAACTGTATATGGCTAGGGAAGGCCCATCCTTGGCAAAGGTTGGTGGGGTTTTTTCGGGGGTGTAGCCTCTTCTTTAAAAAGAAATTGCAATTAATATAGACTTTACCATGAACATTCATAAGAAATAAAATCAGCAAAAATCCAGAACAGATTAAAACCTACACTAGCAGTCTACATATCTGGACCGGCTTGTCTAAACAAAGAAATTGTGTATAAGGTCCCAGGCCCAGTACCCAAATGCTTCTCCAGGTAGGGCTGGAAGTGTCTCCTATCTGAAAACCTAGAGAGCTGCTGTTGGTTGGTGTAGGCCAGTGTTTCCCAAACTTTGGTCTCCAGCTGCTTTTGGACTACAGTTCCCATCATCCCTGACCACTGGTCTTGCTAGCTGGGGATGATGGGAGTTGTAGTCCAAAAACAGCTGGAGACCCAAGTTTGGGAAACACTGGTGTAGATAATAATGAGCCAAGTGGACCTAGCAGTTTGACTCAGTATAAGGCAGCTTCCTACATTTCTATTTATTCAGAATGATGAGGACTAGACTATGTTAAAGGGAAACAGCCATAGGCTAGTGGTATGCAGAGTGTCCCATGTTCAATCCCCAGGGGCATCTGCAGGTAGGACTGGGAGGACTCCCTATTTCTGCTACAGAACTACAATTCCCAGAATTCCCTGCAGAGCGATTGATTATTAAACCACCCTAGGAATCATAGGTCTGTAAGGGGAAATACGTGTTTCTGTGTGTCAGGGACCTCTTAACAACTCTCAGCACTCTGAACAAACTACCACTCCCAGGATCCTTTGGGCAAAGAACGGTTAAAAGTGTTTTTGTTGTTGTTGCTTAGTCGTTTAGTCATGTCCGACTCTTCATGACCCCATGGACCAGAGCATGCCAGGCACTTCTGTCTTCCACTGCCTCCCACAGTTTAGTCAAACTCATGCTGGTAGCTTCGAGAACACTGTCAAACCATCTCATCCTCTGTCATCCCCTTCTCCTTGTGCCCTCCATCTTTCCCAACATCAGGGTCTTTTCCAGGGAGTCTTCTCTTCTCATGAGGTGGCCAAAGTATTGGTGGCCAAAGTATTTAAAGTGGTATCATAGGGCTTTAAATGCTTCAGCTAACTCTTAAGTTTGTTTTTATGTGGGAGATGTTTTCAGGCCAGTCTCTTATGCATTTATGAAGTTGTTTGTTTCATCATTCCTTTCTAACTGTTGCTATAGTTTGTGCTCTGCTTTCTTTTGCATCTTGGCAAGTTGCCTGCTAAATTTATTTTAATAATAATAATAATAATAATAATAATAATAATAGCAACCTCAAAACAATTTTTAAAGAGAAAGGGATGCTTTGTGAAGAACCAAGAAACCAAGCCTTACGAGGAACAGTTGAGGCAAGTGGAAACATTTAGCCTGGAGAGGAGAAGAGAGAGAGAGATGTGATAGCCATCTTCAAATATCTGAAGAGCTGTCACATGGAAGATGGAAAAAGCTTGTTTTTGTTGCTCTGGAGGGTAGGACCCGAACCAATGGCTTCAAGTTACGAGAAAGGAGTTTAAACATTAGGAAGTACTTCCTGAGGACAAGAGACATTCAACAGTGGAACAGACTCCCTCGGAAGGTGGCGGGCTCTCCTTCATCGGAGGTTTTTAAAGAGAGGTTGAGTGACCATCTCTCTTAGGTACTTTAGCTGCAATCCCTGCATTGTAGGGGGTTGGACTACATGACCCTTGGGGTCCCTTCCAAGCCTATAATTTTTCCTAACACTATGATTCTACCAGAAGCTTTCTGGCAATGGCTTTCCACCCTTAAGCCAGGCTCATTCATTGCTTTCTGAAGAAAACAGGACCTTTTTTGGAGCCAAGCCAAGGTTCATAAATAAATAAGGGACCAGTCCAAACAAGCCTTGTGAATAAAAAAGCACACAAAGGCTCTAGTGTACCTTGTCAGGGGCTGACTTCTATAGGAATCCAAATTCACCAGCCAACCTGTTGTTGAAAATGTCCCTGAAGTTTGTTCTGCCCCTGGAAACCAACCCTTAACACTGGGGTGAGCCGGCCTGTTGACTATTTCACGCCAATGTTCAAGGTGAATGATCCTTCCTGATCTAGAATCTTATTATTTCCAGCTTTACATCATCTTTGACTGGTTATATTTACCCTGAAGTTTAGAGTAGAGGCTTTGTAGTTTAAAGAAAAGGCAAGTGGAAGAGGGGACATGATAGAAGTTTATAAAATGTTGCATGGCATGGAGAAAGTGGACAGGGCAAAGTTTTCCTACCTCTCTCATAAAACTTGTGGACGTTCCATTGAAGCTGAAGGTTGGAAGATTTGGGACAGATATTTTCTTTTTTTAAAGTTTCATAGTTAAGCTACGAAACTCTCTCACACAAGAGGCCATGATAGCCACCAACTTGGATGGCTTTAAAAGTAGATTTGACAAATTCATGGAGGAAGAGAAGGCTTTCAGGGCCTACTTTCTACACTGGCTATGTTCTGCTTCCACAGTCGGAGACAACAATGCTTCTGAATTCCAGTTGCTGGAAACCACAGGAAGGGATTCTATGAGTTTCCAGAGCCTGGCATTTTACGCCATCTGCAGAGTGTTTTATAACACCAAAAGTTTCCCCAGTTTGCCTGCTATCAGATACTGGGTGACCACCAGCCACTCCATGACTGAAGCAAAGCTTCTTTGATAAGGAGGTTACTCACATCCTCCCTTTTTTCTGCCTGTCATCATTTTGGTTCCTGGAAGATATCTGTGTGCCCCATTTTAACTGTGCAAAGCAGATATCGAGCGAACACAGGTTGTTTTTATAATAACGAGTTGCATTAAAATCACATCTGGATGTCTTCATACGGTGGCTGCATCCACACATTTAAAACACTTCACCTCCCACAAGGGATCCTGGGGACCATAGCTCACACGAGGAGGGCTTCAGCTTTGTGCATGAAAACATAGGAACACAATAAGAGCCCTGCTGGATAAAACCAAAAGGGGGTCCACCTAGTCCAGCATCCTGTTCTCACAGTGGCCAACCAGATGCAAGCAGGACTTGAGCACAAGAGCACTTTCCAATTGTTTTCCCCCATCTCATATGCAGATGTAGACTGTCCCTGGACATGGAGGGACTTTTATCACAATGGACCTAAGATCCTGCTGAATCAGTCCCAAAGCCCATCTAGTCCAGAATCCTGTTCTCACAGTGGCCAATTAGATGCCCATTATGGGAAGCCCACAAGCAGGACCTGAATTCAAAAGCAATTCTCCCCTCCTGCAGTTTCCAGCAACTCGTATTCACTGGTGGTTTCTAAACAGATTGGGTGGCCACCTGTCAGGGATCCTTTAGTTGTGTCCTAAAAAATGCAGAGGAGACTTATTTGAAAAGCCTTTCCTGCACTTAAGGGAGCCCCGATCCCTTGCGGAATCCGCTTGTCAAGTCAGGGATGAAAGAAGGCTGCAACCAAGTATAGGAGGAGTAAAGCAGCTGATAAGCCATAGATCTTTATTAAGGAAAACTTAAGCCACAGGGTCTTCACTCACAAATACTAGAGAGAACAAGAGAACCCAGAACAATAGTGGGTTTAAAGGGTTATACCTTTGGATCGGGGAAGTCCCAGTGACAAGGTGACCACCCCAAAACATCAGATTGTTGTTGCTGGCATCCGTCTATCACGAGAGAGAATGGAGGGGTGAAACCAAACCACTGTGTTAGCAGCACCAAAGTCACCTTCCAGGGTGCAGGGAACAAGACCCCTCTCTTGGCTGTGCTGATGTGGTCCAAAGGAAAGCAGAGCAATATGTTTGGCATCAACTTGGCTGCAGGAATTGCCCAAAGGAGGCATACAAAACTCCATCCAACCGCCACAGGACTCCACTTTATATTTGTGTAGGGTTTATTCCGTAGCCTTTTCTTCTCTAGAAGATGTCCTGCAAAGCACCAGAGGTTTAGGATCAGAGTTTTCTTTTTCCTAGATGGGCTGCCTTCCTAGGTTGACCTGACCAGCCCCCTCTGCCCCCACTTCCCTCTACAGCAGGTACAGAAACCACTTAACCATCTGATGCATTATTGGTATCATCGGCTCAATCGGCTACCCTCACCTGTTTTAGCCAGCCAGTCGAAGCCATTTCCTTGGGTGTGGCTGCTGTCACATATGGACACTTCTATGAGCCACAGTTGAGAGCTGAGTGCATCGTGGGGACAAAAAATGGACAAACTACTCCAGTAAGAGCATGACATGTACCTGACCAGAGGTACTACCCCTCCTCTAACACTCCATACACTTAGATAGGGACACAGGTGGCGCCTTGGTCTAAACCACTGAGCCTCTTGGGACTGCTGATCTGAAGGTCGGTGGTTTGAATCCCTGTGACTAGGTGAGTTCCCGTTGCCCTGTCCCAGCTCCTTTCGAACCTAGCAGTTCGAAAGCTTACCGGCATGAGTAGATAAATAGGTACCGCTGCAATGGGAAGGTAAACAGTGTTTCTGTGCACTCTGGCTTCCATCAGGGTGTCCCATTGTGCCAGAAGCAGTTTAGTTATGCTGGCCACATGACCCAGAAAGCTGTCTGTGGACAAACACTGGCTCCCTCGGCCTGAAAGCAAGATGAACGCCGCAACCCCATAGTCATCTTTGACTAGACATAACCATCCAGGGGTCCTTTACCTTTTACCTACACTCAGATAAGCATCACAAAAATGGGCTGTACAGGTAAATTAGAACATGTACAGAATACAAACTTTTCCAATACATATACAAGTCTGCCACTCAGACATTTCATAGAATCAGAATTGTAGAGCATAGCTGTCAACTTACAGATTTGAAAATAAGGGACCAGCAGCCAAAATAAGGGACCTGCAGCCTCACCTATTCCAGGCACTCCAGTCTTCCTGTCCTCCTGCAGTCTGGTCAAACTCATGCTGGTAGCTTCGAGAACACTGTCCAACCAACTTTGTAACCAGAGGTTCAACTGAATAGAATCTGAATCACGTGCACCACAAGGCCTATGCAGCCTCAACTTAAGATGGCTCCCCGGCCTGGCTTTGCACTGCAAAGTTTGCAGCAGCACGTGCAACAAAATGGCGTCCAGCATTCAAAACCCCCCTCAGCTTGCATTAACTAGCCACACACAAGGCATGCAAGCTCCACCCCCCAGTCGTTCTTAGACTTCTTATTGGGTGAGCAACACAGCCAAGCAACACAGTTGGAGCCTCCCTCCTCCCTGGCCGGCAGGGAGGGAGGGAGAGGAGCTGCTTCCTTTGAAGTTTAAGGGACATCATTTAAGGGACATTTAAGGGACATCTATCAATAAGGGACAGCAGCGGGACATGATTCTGGAATAAGGGACTGTCCCTTCAAATAAGGGACACTTGACAGCTATGTTGTAGAGTTGGACCCCAAGGGTCATCTAGTCCAACCCCCTGCAATGCAGGAATCTCAGCTAAAGCATCCATGACAGATGGTCATCCAACCTCTGCTTAAAAACCTCCAAGGAAGGAGAGTCCACAGCCTCCTGAAGGAGGCTGTTTGGCTATCAAACAGCTCTTACTGTCAGAAAGTTTTTTCTGGTGTTTAGTTGGAATCTCCTTTCTTGTAACTTGAAGCCATTGGTTTGAGTCCTACCGTCCAGATCAGGATAAAACAAGTTGGTTCCTTCTTCCATGTGACAGCACTTGAGATATTTGAAGATGGCTATCATATATCCTCTCAGTCTCCTCTTTTCCAGGCTACACATCCCCAGCTCCTTCAACCATTCCTCATAAGGCTTGGTTTCCAGACCCTTCATCATCTTGGTGACCCTCTTCTGCACAAGTTCCAGCTTGTCAACATCCTTCTCAAATTGTGGTGCCCAGAATTGGACACTGTATTCCAGGTGTGGTCTGACCAAGGCAAAATAGAGTGGTACTATTAATTCCCTGAACACTATACTTCTGTTGACACAGCCTAAAATAGCATTAGCATTTTTTGCTGCTTCATCACACTGTTGACTCACATTCAGCTAGTAGTCCACCAAGATCCCTAGACCCTTTTCACATTTACTACTGGCAAGCCAGGTGTCCTCCATCTTATATTTGTTTATCTTGTTCTTCCTGCCTAAGTACAGAACCTTACATTTTCCCTACTGAAACTCATTTTGTTAGCTTTGGGCCCAGTTCTCCAATCTGCTAAGGTCATTCTGAATTCTGGTTCTGTCTTCTGTGGCATTAATTACCCCATCCAGGTTGATGTCATCTACACATTTCATGAGCATCCCCTCAATTCCTTCAACCAATTTGAACAACAACGGGCCCAAGAAAGAACCCTGTGGCACCCCACTTGTCACCTTTTCTCAGGATCTTTAATGAGTACTATTTGGGTTTGTTCAGTCAACCAGCTACAAATTCACCTAACAGTTATCTCGTTCAACCCACATTTTACCAGTTTCATCGCAAGAATATCATGGGGAACTTTGTTAAAAGTCTTACTGCGATCAAGATACACTATGTCCACAGCATCCCCCTGATCCACCAAGCTTGTAACTCCATCAGAAAAGAAAAGAAAAAAGAAAGAAATGAGATTCATCTGACATGACTTATTTTTGAGAAACCCGTGCTGGGTCTTAGTAATCACAGCATCCTTTACTAAGTGCTCACACACCAACTGTTGAATTAGGGTATCTGTTCCTGGTATCAATGTCAAGCTCACCCATTGGGTCTTCTTTTTCCTCTTTTTGAAGATGGAGACAACATTTACCTGCCTCTAGTCTGCAAGGACCTCACCTATTCTTCAAGAATTCTCAAAGTTCATAGGCAAAGGTTCTGAGATTACATCTGCAAGCTGTTTAGTACCTTTGGAGGCAGCTCATCAGGCCCCGGAGATTTGAATTCATTTAAAGTCACTATGTGTTCACTTAATACCTCTTTTCCTATCTTGGACTCCAAGATAGGAATCTTGGACTGAATGTCTTTCATTGGCAAGAATACTCATCGCAAAGTATTGGAAGACCCAAGATCTACCCACTTTGGAAGAATGGCAGATGAAAGTGATGGACTATATGACATTGGCCGAGATGACAGGCAGAATCCGTGACCAACGAAAAGAGACGGTGGAAGAAGAATGGAGAAAATTTAAAAGTTATCTTAAGGACTACTATAAACTTAATGAATGCTAAAATGTTGTGGTTTCCAGAAACAAAGGGATACAGGGATACAAGGTTAGAAATGTAAAAAAGGACTAAGAAGATAGAGATTGGAAAATAACAATTGGGAGTTGCTAGTTGAACTTTGGACATTGGGATGCAGAGAGGGGGGGTATGGGGAAGTCAAAGGAAAGAAGTTTATGAAAATATGTTTGAAACTATACGTGTATGTTTGTCATTCTTGGTGTTTGTTTGTTTTTTGTTTAAAAAGTTTCTAAAACCAATAAAAATTTTATAAAAAAAAAAATGAACGTCTTTCATTGGCTCCTTACCAATAGAGATAGCCGCTTGCTCCATCTACTATGTGACAGCCCTTCAGATATTTCTCTTCGGTGGCATTAGCTCCCCCTCCGAGTTTGGTGTCATCTGCAAATGTGATGAGCATCCCCTCAATTCCTTTGTTCTTCAGGTCGTTTATAAAGGTTACGGGTTGTCTTACCATTTGGATTGTCTTACCGTGCAGAAGTTGGATATAGCTTCTGCTGTAGCAGTTGACCTAGTTCTAACCCCCTTCAGTGGTAAAAACAACACTTCCCAGTAACTGGTACCTGGGACTCCAGACCAGAACTTCCTTGGAGTACATTGCAGGGCAGGACTTGTCACGTGACTCAGCAAAACACAGGTCACGGGTTGGCAGAAGTTAAAATCTCCAAGTCCCATTTCCCTGCAGTGGGCCCGTTTCCCTGCAGTGTCTGCCATCCCAAATAATAATGTCGTAAACCCAGTTCTCCACAGGAGAGGAATGGGTTGAGTTAGGTCAGGATAGGAAAATCAACAAACGATACTAAGGAAATAAGAATAAGATATATTTTTAGCAAGTCTCTCAGATCTAGTGTATGGAGCTTTCAAGCAATCCCTTTAAAGGTAAGCATTGATAAGGATGCCTGTCTATTTCTACGGTGCAGATGGGGTCATTAATGGAGAGAGAGACAGTTGGGAACTAGAGTAGAAGGGTGATGGAAACTCCTTCAAATTGTCAATATTCATTAAAGTCTGCCAGTAGCCTCTCGGGCAGTGGTCCTTTTCGAGGTTGCTGATTCCTGGTGGTGCTATGACTCTGTGGCCAGGCTTCCTCAGAGGCGTGGTTGTTTTTTAACCAGAGAGGGCAGTTTCTTTTTATGTGCCCAATCTCCGCACAGTGGAAGCATCCTTTCCACTGAATTATAATTCCACTGCTGCTCATTGTGCAAGTTCTGAACAGTTAATATATTTGCATCTCAGGTTTTGTCCGGTTGATAGTCGGGTTGAACTAGGGTTTCTCCAGATGTGGTCAGGATGCCCAACCCCCACCCTGTCCTCTGCATCGTACAGCAGAGCATTTAGGAGCGTATGTGCCCTGAAGGATTGTGGAAAAGATAGCCAGAGCAACTTCCCTACAGTTCTGTTATTATAAGCTGAGAAGCAGGACTTGAGCACAGCAACAGCAGCAGCAGCAACAACAACAACAACAACTGGTTTTCAGATGTATTTACTACCTCTGAGAGTGGGGTCAGCTTCACTGATGACATGAAAGTCCTAAAATCTGGTGCAGAAGGAGGAGTGGTGGGGGAGAGAGAAGGGAAACACAGCAAGCCCCCTCGCCTCCATCATCCTCTTGTTGCTATTAAAATGTCACTCATGCTTGTACATCTGTGAGCTGCCTGCCCTGTCCCGGTATTTTCTCACGCTCAGCTGTTGGCAGCCAGTGGAGGCAGGAGTGTTGGGGCTTGCCCCGCCGCCCCACCCTGACTCTCTCTATCTGGCTCATCAAGGCCCAGGAGAGCTGCAAGTTGAGGCAGGGCCTCTGGCACGGGCCCCAAACTGCCTGCTCTCCAGCAGCCTCCTTGCAACATGGGCCAGGGGAGCGCCAGAGAGTGGGGGTGGGGACTCGCACACAGGGGAGCCCCTGCTCTGTTTTCCGTGGCAGCCTGATGATTTCCCCATTGCGGGTGAATTTGCTAACCCTTCCCAAAGCAATGTTTATTCTTGCAGGCCTGTTCTGGTGGCAGTGCTCCAAGGGACACAGGAAACGGCCTTGTACTGGGTCCATCTAGCTCAGTGTTGTCTGCACTGGCTGACAGCAGCTCTTGAGGTTTCAGGCAGGTGCATCTTTGACTCTACCAAGGATTGAAACTGGGACCTTCTATGTGCTAAGCATGTTACCCAGTGAGCTTCATGGTCGAGTTGTGGGGGGCGGGATCTGAATCCTTTTAGTCCCCACAACAACCCTGTGAGGTAGATTCGGCGACAACCAGCTCAAGTCACGCCCAGTGAGCTTCATGGCTGAGTGGGGATTTGAACCTTGGTCTCCCTGGTGCTAGTCTAATATTCTAACAACCACACCAGACAGTCTTTTTGCAGGGCTTCCTGAAGTATTAATTTGTATTGCCTGGAGGCAACTCCTTGTGTAGAGTCCTGTCGTTATTCAGCTCATCATCAAGGGTGATACATGGCAGCACCGTCATGTGCCAGGCCTCTTGATGAACATGCAGAGGATCAGGGCAAGTGGGTGCCACACCCAGTGCTTCATCAGCCAACCTACTTGGAAAGAAACAACCTTCCTTGCCACAACAAACAAAACAGCAGTTTAAAAAAATAAAATCACAAAGCTCTCCTTGCCAGGCCATCCCTTCAAACCATAGGCTGTGGCGAGCCAATTGATTTAAAGGAGGGAAAGGAGGTCCCCATTGCTTAGTGCTGGGTTTCAAAGCCAAACAGCCAGCGGCCTTCCTGGCTTCACCCAAAGGGACCATAGAAT